TCCACTCACTCTAAACAGTCCTGCGGAAGCCCCTCCATTGCCTCAGACCAGCACTGCACTACTTTCTGTACTGAGTCCTCATCCAGTAGGAGGAACACAGCATTGTGACCTGATTTTCCAAAATGAGGATGGGGTATGGAGTGGTAGGCATCTTTGATGGTTGTATAGTAATGGTCAAGAAACTTTGGACCTCTGCCGGGACAGAGACATATTGAGATTGGCCTGGTTGAAATCACCGGCTACTATGAAAATGGCCTTTGGGTATTCCATCTCAAGATCATTTGTAGTAATGCATACTTCGTCAAGTGCACTCTTCACTTCCATATAGGTTTATAACGTAGACTGCTGCCAGGATAGCAGAAGTGAACTCGTGTAACAGGTAGTAAGAACAGCACTAGGTTCAGGGAGCAGTAACTTGCCAGGGTCGCCACGTCTGAGCACCAGGAGGTGTTGATTAGGAATCAAACTCCATTATCCCTTACCTTGCCCAAGGACACTGATCAGACCATTTGGTGAACTGAGAAATTGTCAGGTTGTAAGGCATATCTGGTGTAGCAGAAGTGAGCCATGTCTCTGTAAAACATAGAATACAACAGCCTCTCATATCTCTTTGGTCGGTGAGTCTAGCTTTAAGTTAATTAATTTTGTTCTCAATGGCTTAGATGCTTGCCAGGCATATGCTAGGAAGAGGGGTGGGAGAACTTGAAACTTCGAAGTTTCAGTCTCACCTGAAGTCCAGTGCATCTTCCATGTTTCCTAGTAAGTGGCTACTCCTAGTCGATCCCGGGCATCTGTGAGGGACGTCTGCTACTCCAAGAGGTAAGTGTGCGCTCCCGATTGGCTCCTTGCCACGAGTCACAGACATGAGTGCTCCATTCTTGTGGCTGGTTCAGTTATGCCACCACAATGTCGGGTCACCATGCTTGTCACCATTCCTGCACTGGGGCTCATTTCTATGTTTCCACAAGGTTGGGCCTGCAACAGGCCAGAAGGCATGTGGGGTTGTCAGCAAGGTAAGTAGATGCGTTTGATGTTTGATGGGCACTAGCTTTGTTCACGAGCGCTTGGAGTTGGTCTAGTCGTGTGTCCTCGCTGTTGGTTCTCTGTGTGGTTAGGTATTGTTCCTGCACTGGTTGGGCCTCCATTCCATGTTTCCACAAGGAAGTCGGGCTTACAGGAAGCCAGTAGGTCCTTAGTTCACCTGGGCTTGCTATGCCAGCGTCGTTGGTCGAGCCTTGTCAGTCGTAGGTCACTCAATTTGTGGGTGACATCTATTTAGAGTTCTGAGTTTCTGTCCTGGGTCTCCATGTGACTGAACAGAGCCACAGGCCTAAGGGTCATGGGGCAGAATGTCCCATGAGGTAGTGAGATCTGAAAAAGCGGAGAAGAAATCTCAAGGTGGCAGAGGCAGGGTAGGCACCATTCGGCTCCTGATCCCAGGGCTCGGTTGCTCCTGTGCGCCATCAAGACAGCACCATGCAGCAGAGCTAGCCACATCCACACCTTCTCACCCATTCTCTTTGATCATTTGTCAGTACCTATACTTCTGCAATTTTTGTTGATGAGTTCAGTGACTCTTAAGCTCAAACACAACAGGAGCACCAGTGGAGGCAGGCGGCATCAGCAACATGGATCCAACACCCTGCCAAGTCCAGCACAGGACTCAGCTTGGACCCTACCACAGAAGTAGTGGCAGTGGAGGGGATGGAGCCCTGAAGTGGGACTCTGCTGGGCCCTCACACAGGCTCAGGCCCACAGCCAGCTCCAGCTTGGCCTTGGCTGCAGCGGTGGAGGAGCCCAGTTTCAGAAACCAGCTGATTTTCAGCGTCAGGAGAAAGAGCCAAAGAGATTACAGCTGAGTAGGCAAACAGGATCTGAGCCATCGTAAACTGGACTAAACAGGATAAAGTCCAAATCTGCTGCTTTAATTTCTTGTTTTTGTTTAGAAATCCAGGACAGCATCGGAGAGTGGTGACTTTTTGCACTTTTCACTATATACCAGTATGCATGGCAATAAAGCTGATCTAATCCTTTCTTTCTTTATGTGCCACCACTTTGCCTCCTCAATTAGCTTAGCAAATCTCTTTTGGATTGCATTTGATCAGCTTATTCTTTGTCGAATACAGAAACCACAACTGTGAATAATATACTAGGACTGGCTTCATCAACACCCTGTATAGAACACAGAACATAGAACAGTACAGGCCCTTCGGCCCACGATGTTGTGCCAAACTTTTACCCTAATCCTAAGGTCTATCTAATCTCCACCCCTACCTTATACTATCATCCATATGTCTATCTAATAATCGCTTAAATGCCCCTAATGAGACCAACTCCACTACCCTCTCTGGCAATGCATCCCACGTCCCTACCACTCTGAGTAAAGAACCTACCTCTAGCGACTATGCCCCCTCGTAATAGCTACCTCCACCTAGGAAAAAGTCTCTGGCTGTCCACTCTATCTATACGTCTATAGGTACACCTCTATCAAGTATAGTTGCAAGAAGATCTCCCTATTTTTAAACTCCAACACTTAGCAATTAGGGCCAAATTCCACTTTCTTTCTTTCATAATTTTTCTGCATCATGAATTAAAACCTGTGTTTGGGGACTTACAAGATAACACCGGAGAGAGCAACGTTTGTTGAAAATTGTCTCGCTACCAATATCCTCATTGACAATGCAGGACTGCATCACAGAGTATGCTGAAGGGGAACAAAAATGAGGCTTTCTTCCCTGGCTGATCTATGAATCACCAACCTCTTGGTTAACCAGGTTGACCAATTATGCTGTTCAAGCACATCACTTCTTGCTTATCCAATTTGGCTTATCAGTGACAAATGGAATTCAATCTGACCAGCCCATCTGTATCCTCCTGTAATCAAAGGCTATCCTCATGATTTACCACCCCATCAGTTTTGCATCATCTGTGAAAATAACTGATCAATCCTTCCACATTCAAGTCTAAATTATTTTTATAAATAGCAAGGGCCCTAACACTGACCACTGTGGGATCCTACCGGACACACAGTTCCAGCCGGAAAAAAAACACTTCTCAACCATTACCCTGTGATTCCTGCCTGTCAGCGAAATGTGGATCTAACTTGCAAATCTCAATGGATCCCATAGGCTTTTAATCTGTTATCAGCCTCCCATGCAGGAACTTATCAAAAACCTTGTTGAAGTCTACGGAGACTACATTAAAAGTATTGGCCTCATTGATACACCTGGACATCTCTTCAAATATTTAATCAATTTGGTCAGACGTGATCTCCCCTTCAGAAATCTCTGCTGCCTGTTCTTGATTAATCCCTGCCTCTTAATTGCAAATTAATTCTGTCCCTTAGAATTGTTTCCAATAGTTTCCCCACCACCAAGGTGAGACTGATTGGCCTACAGTTTCTTGATTAATCCCATGTTGAATAAAAGCACCACTTTGGCTGTCCTTCAGAGCTCTGGCACCTCTTGTGGCCAGAGAGGAATTGAAAGTTTTTGCATGTGCCTCTGCTATTTCATTCCACAAACCTGGGATACCTTTGATCTGACTCTGGATATTTATCTACTTTTAAGCCTGCCAGGCCACTCAGAACCTCCTCTCTTTAATTGGATCACAGACCTTCTTCCTGAATTCTACACCAATATTATCTCTCTCAATAGTGGACCCTCATTTAGAACACTATCTACATCCTCTGCCTCCACACACAAATTACTGCTGTGAACCTTTATGGGCTTTACTCTATCCCTCATTATCCTTTAATCATCAATGTGCCCATAAAACAACCAAAGATTTTCCTTTATTTTGCCTGGCTATCAATTCACGACCCCTTGTAGTTCTCCTTATCTCCCCTTTTAAGTTTCTTCTTGCACATTTATCTGGAAGTATTTGCTCTCAGCCCACTCTGGCCAAATTGCATTTGTTCTGACTAAATACATCAGTTTAGAGCTGTGATTTCAGGTGCTTCCTTATTCTTTTTCACGCAAATGTGAATCAAAGAGTGACAATAACTGTTTGAAAAATGCTCTTTACTGATACTTCAACTACTTGTTTGTCTTTATTACCAAAAAGTCCAGGGCATACCCGTTCTTTGTTGGGGACTTTTGCATACTGGCTTCAAAAGCTGCGCTGGATGTATGTTAAAAGTTCCCCTACTTTCATACCATGCTGACCACAACTAACGTTGGGAAAATTCTTCAATATCATGACACATGACTTTTACACTTCCCTGCTCCTCTATTTCTCACAGTTTAAGGAGTTTTCTAAGATGTGATCCCTTATCACTGCCATAATAGATTCCCTGAACAGTATTGCAAACCCCTTCCTTTTTGCATTCCTTCGTTGTTTCACATGAAGACCACGTAGCCTGGAGCACTCAGCTGCCAATCCTGCCTCTCTCTTACCGACTGCAATGTCATTGTACCCCCATGTTTTACTTTGTGCCCTAATCTCTTCTGCCCTGTTCGTCAGACTCCTAGTATTAAAATAAATACCATTCAACCTTGTCAAACTCGCTTTTACTGTAATCTTGATGCCTTCCTAACTCACTTGTTGTTTCTTCTCTTTTTGGCCCTCCTCACTCTTTTGAACATTCTCTCTAGATCCCACGCCCCTGCCTTGTTATTTCACACACACCCCAACAGCACTCAAAAATGCACACCCACATCCCATCTCTCCAGAAGGATGCTGCTCAAATTCCAGTTCAGGTGCAACCCCATCCACCTTGAACAAAACTTGAACAAAAGGGAAAAAGAAACTTCTTCCCTGTGCACAGAATACCAATGGTGCACGACAATTCCAACATTACAAGCTGTCCCTCAATGTAGATATGTCTTGCCCCACCAGCTCATGTGAAGCAAACTGATTATTTGTCACTCAGAATGAGACAATGTCCACGAGTTCTTTGCATTTGTTGGAGGTGAGGATAGAGGAGATGGGGAGGTGGAGAGCCCTTCAAAATAAATGAGCCTGCTTTAGAGATAAGATAAAGACTTGATGCACAATAGTTTTAACAAAAAGCTGATTTATATCATTTTTCTCCAAAATTGCAAACACCACATGTCTGGTTATCTAAGAACATCAGAACCAGGCCCAGAAAACATGGTTTGGATATAAATAACAGTAGGATCAAAAAACCAATTCCTACAGTTCTCAGAAATTCACTGGTAGTTAACTAGTCTTGATGGACCAGGAAATCACTCTTCACACACTGTGCAGGTGGACAATCTTTACCCAGTGAGATGAAGATGTGATCATTTCCAAAACCTACCCTACAGATACAGAAATGTTATTAACATTTTATCAACAATATCAGTGCCTTTAATTGAGCAGGGATTAATAACATCAGTACAAATAGCCCAAAGACCATGGTTCATTCCTTGGTGGGAATAAGAACAAAATCTTTTGACTGCGGTTTGTGGTGAATTCGCTGATGCGTTAACAGTCCGGATGACCGTGAGAATTCCTTCCCACACACACAGCAGGTGAATGGTCTCTCCCCAGTGTGGACTCTCTGGTGTGTCAGCAAGTTGGATGATCTAGTGAATCCTTTACCACACTCAGAACAGGTGAATGGTCTCTCTCCAGTGTGAACCCGCTGGTGTGCCAGCAGGTTGAATGACCAAGTGAATCTCCTCCCACACTCAGAACAGGTGAATGATTTCTCTCCAGCGTGAACTCGCTGATGTAACAGTAAGTTAGATGAGTGAGTGAATCCTTTCCCACATTCAGAGCAAATGAATGGTCTCTCCCTGGAGTGAACTCGGTGGTGTCTCAGCAGGCCAGATGGCCGAGTGAATCCCTTCCCACACTGGGAGCAGATGAATGGTTTCTCCCCAGTGTGAACTCGTTGGTGTCTCAGAAGGTTAGATGAATGAGTGAATCCTTTCCCACAATCAGAGCAAGTGAACGGTCTCTCCCCAGTGTGAATGTGCTGATGTTTGAGCAGGCTGGATGACTGAGCAAATCTCATCCCACAATCAGAGCAGATGAATGGTTTCTCTCCAGTGTGAACTCGCTGGTGTCTCTGTAGGTGAGATGAGTGAATGAATGCTTTCCCACATTCAGAACAGGCAAATGGTCTCTCTCCAGTATGAATTCGTTGGTGTTTGAGCAGGCTGGATGACTGAGTGAATCCCTTCCCACAATCAGAGCAGGTGAATGGCTTCACCCCAGTGTGGCTGCGCTGATGAGTTTCCAGCTGGGATGGGTAAAGAAATGCCTTCCCGCAATCCCCACATTTCCACAGTCTCTCCCCAATGTGACTGTGTTGGTGTTTGGACATTTCAGATGAATCTTCACAGAATGCTCCAAACACAGAGTATGTGGGCTTCTCCCCAGTGTGAATGGTGCTCTTTCTTTCAACATTCAAAATCCTGAGATAAGTAGGTTGTGATAAATAGTGACTGCCACATCTGGATGCAGTTTCATTTGAATTTGTTCACTGTACATCAACCTTTCAAACAGAAAACAAAAGTAGTGAGAGAAACCAGAAGAACATACACAAGTTGTGAAACTGAGAGAAATTAATCTAGTTATTTGTGGAGCTGACACTTGGGGAAACTGCTGGATTATCATTAAAACCAAATTGGTTTATAAATGTCCTTCAGGGAAGTGAACATGTCAGTGTTTGCAAAAAAAAAACTACAGAAGGAGATCGAGGTGGGGGGATGATATGCATTTTATAGATCGACAATTCAACTCTGTTCCTGTTTTTTCCTCACAACCTTCGAACTCTCCAAAGGAATAAGAGTACATGCAGCAGCAAAATGGTGAAAATTTGAAATAAAAACACAAAACACTGGAGATAGACAGCAGGTCTGCCAGTGTCTGAAATGGTGGTAGATGTAGGAACCATTGCAACCTTGAAGAATTATTTAGATATGCCGTACGAATCTCTATACTATAGGTTACAGGCTAAGTGCCAGAAAATGGGACTAGAGTAAATAGCTATTTGATGACACACATTGATATGATGGAGACATTGTGTTCAACAATTTTATATCAGAGTTTCTGACCCCATTTTGTTTCATGTTTGTCTGTGACTCTCTTTCAGTAAGCAGGTAGGTGCAGCAAGCAGGGAAGAATGCAAATGATACATTGGCTTTCATAGTGAGAGAATTCAAATACAGGAGCAGGGATGTCTTTCTTTAAGGGCCTTGGTAAGCCCAAACCTGGAGTACTGTGTGCACTTTCGGTCACCTTTCCTGAAGAAGGATGCCCTGGTGACAGAGAGCGTGAAGAAGGTTCACCAGGCTGATTCCAGGGATGTCATGACTGATGTATGAAGAGGATCTCAATCCTTAGTTAATCCTCATCTCTTTTATCTTTCTGAGGTGCTGACTACATCACTAATATTCTTCCTCCCGTTTCCTGATCTGAATCTGACCCATCTAAGCCTACACACTTTGATTCCCAGCCTGTTGCTATACTAGTTTAAAACCTCATCAACTGAACTAGCGAAAGCCGCGATGAGGATATTTGACCTAGCTCAACCCAGATGCAACCAGTCAGGCTTGTACAGGACCCATCTTCCCCAGAAATGTGCCCATTGTCTCAAGAATCTAAACCGCTCTCTGGTACACCATTTCTCCAGCCACATATTCATCTGTTCTATCCTCTTTTTCCTGCTGTCACTCACACATGGCAGTGGGAGCAAGTCTGACATGACTACATTTGAGGTCCTCCATTTTAATACAGCTCCCATCTTCCTATACTCAGCTTTCAGGTTCTCATCCCTTTGTCATTGGTGTCTATGCGTACCACAACCACTCGCTGTTCACCCTCCCGCTCCAGAATTTCCTGCAGCTGCTCCATGACATCTCTGATCCTGGCACCATAGACGTAACGTACCATCCTGGATTCACGTCTACAGTCATACAAGTGCCTATCTGTACCCCTGACTTTGAAGTTACTATCACCATAGTCCTGCCACTCCTTTTCCTCCCCTTTGATGCAGCACAGACACCTGTGGTGCCATGAACCTGGCTGTTGCTGCTTTCCTCTTCAGAGGCCACCTCTTCTCCCGTCACCCCCGAAACAATATCCAAGTCAGTATATCTGTGGATGCCCAATGGGGACTTCTGCACTTCATTCCTGAGTCTTGTACTTTGTCTGATGGTCACCTGTTCCCTTTCTGCCTGAGTAATCCTCACCTGCGGTGTGACCAACCTGTTAAATGTGCTGTCCACTACATTCTCAGTATTACAAATGCTCCACAGTGAGTTTATCCCCAGTCCCAACTCTGAAAAGCAGTTAGCCAGTAACTGCAGATAGACACACTTCCTGCAAAAGTAGCCATCAGGGACATTGGAAGAGTCCCTCATTTCCCACAGTGTGCAAGAGGAGAACACCACAGGTTTGGGGTCTCCTGTCATGATTTCTCTCTAGACTAGTTAATCCCTTTAAAAGAATTTAATTAAGCTAGGGGCCTTCCTTCTTTGCAAACAGCTGTTTTATAATCAAAAGCCTATACCTTTCTTTAAGTTGATATATTGTACTTTTAAAAACTGTAAGAAAATACTGTGGGTTTCACTTATGAATTGGCTGTCTCTGTTGGGACCATGTCAGTTTCTGAGCTGCCCAGACTGAGACTGAGCACTGCACTCAGTCTTTCAGCTTCACATTCTCCCTGTCTTGCCTCACTCTCCATTTTCCTCCAACTCCAAAGCGCACTCATTGAGCCAAGCAGCGCTCACAGTGCAGCCTTGATATTTTAACTGTCTGTTCATACCCACTGACTTCAACCTCCTGTCCTGTTCCAATGATGCTCAATGGGAGCTCAGGGAACACAGGGAACAGCGTCTAATCTTTCAATCCAGCTTTCTACAACCCTCCACACTCAACATGGAACTTCAGCAGTACCTGGATCAACAGAGTTCTCAATGATCTGAAGCATTTCACCTAAAGGGGTGCTGAGACCCGAGACCAGCAGGAATGTTAAAAAGGAGTTTTCAGGTATTTGAAAATAAGGAATTTAACAGGAACAAAGAACAATACAGCATAAGAACAGGCCCTTCGGCCCTCCAAGCCTGCGCCAACATGTTTTGCCCTTCCAAACTAAAACTGTCTTCAATGACAGGATCTGCATTCTCTTCCTATTCATATATCCATCCAGGTGCTTCTTGAATGTTGCTATTGCGTCTACTTCTACCACCTCGTCTGGCAGTGCGTTTCAGGCACTTACCACCCCTTGTGTGAAAGACCTGCCTCACACATCTCTTTTAAACTCCCCTCTGCACATTGAACCTGTGTCCCCTAGTATTTCACCCCTCCACCCTAGGAGAAAGCCTCATACTTTCCATTCTATCCATGCCATTCACAGTCTTATCAAATTCTATCAGGTCACCCCTCAACTTGCTGTGTTCCAGTGAAAACAAACCCAATCTATCCAACCTTTCTTCATAGCTAAAATCCCCAATACCAGGCAACATGCTGGTAAACCTTTTCTGTACCCTTTCCAAAGCATCCATTTCCTTCTGGTAGTGTGGTGACCAGAAATGTATGCAGCATTCCAAGTGTGGCCTAACTAAAGTTCAATAAAGTGCAGCAAAACGTGCCTATCTTTATACTCAATGTCTCTTCCAACGAAGAGAAGTATGCCATAGGTCTTTTTTCACTAACATATCTACCTGCATTGCCACCTTCAGTGATCTGTGTACCTGCACATCCAGATCCCTCTGCATATCAATACCTATACTCCTAAGGGTTTTGCCCGTACATTCCACGTGTACTTGACCTTCCGAAATGCACCACTCTCATTTGTCCGGATTAAACTCCACCTGCCATTTTTCTGCCCATGCCTTCAACTGACCTACATCCTGCTGTATCCTTTGACAATGCTCCTTAGTATCTGCAACTCCACCAATTTTTGTATGATCCACAAACTTAATAATTAGGCCAAAAACGAGGTTGTAGACTGGTGCGTTTGATTGCGGACGTTTCGTGACCCTGCTACTTAACATCATTAGTGCACCTCTGGTGAAGCATTGGTGTTCTGTCCTGTATTTTATTTGTGTGTCTCGGTTGGCATATAAATAGCAAATGGGACAGAACACCAACGCTTCACCAGAAGTGCACTGACGATATTACCTAGCAGGTTGATGAAATGCTTGCAATCAAACACACAGGCTCAGCAAGCAAGCCTACAATGTCATCCACAACCTGAGCTACAAATCTTCCCAAAAACTTTAGGCCAGCCACATTTTCCTCCAAGTCACTTATGTAGACCATGAACAGCAGAGGTCCCAGCACTGATCCCTGTGGAACACCACTAGTCACAGCCCTCCATTACGAAAAGCATCCTTCCACTGCAACCCTCTGTCTCCTATGACTTTGCCAATCCTGTCTCCATCTTGCCAGCTCACCTTGACACCATGTGACTCCCCATCTAAGTCAATTTTCTTCTAAATGCATATAGACCTTGTCACTGAGAATCTTTTCTCAATTTCCCTATCAATGACATGAGGTTCACAGGCATGTAATTTCCTGAATTATCGCTGCTATACTTCCCTAACAATGGGACAACATTGGCTATTCTCAAGTCTTCTAGAACCTCACCTGTGGCCAAAGAGGATACAAAGATGTCTGTAATGCTCCAGCAATTTGTGCTCTTGCCTCCCTAAATATTCTATGACAGATCCCATCAGGACCTAGGGACTCAGATATCTTAATTCTTTTTAAGATGCTCAACACCTCTTCATTTTTAATAGCAAATTGGCTTAAAAATTCGACACTCCCTTCCCTTAGGTCATCCTCCAGCAGTTCCTTCTCTTTGGTGAATACTGGCACAAAGTATTCATTTAGGGCCTCACGTACCTCTTCTAGCTCCACACATGGATTCCCTCCTTTGACCTTGAGTGCGCCAACCCTTTCCCTGGCTACCTCTTACTTTTTACACTTGTATAAAAAGCTTTGGGATTCTCCTCAATCCTGTTTGCTAATGACTTTTCACGACCCCTTTTAGCCTTTCTAATTCCTTGTTTAAGTTATTTTTGACTTTCCTTACATACTTCATGAGCTTCATCAGTTCCCATCCTCCTAGACCTTACATATGTTTCCCTTTTCTTTTTGACCAAGGTCATAACATCCCTGGTTATCCAAGCTTCACATAATTTGTCATACCTATCCTTCATTATCAAAGGAACCACTCTTGAACTCTTATCAACTGCAGTTTGAAATACTCCCACACCTGATGTAGATTCACCCTCAAACAGCTGCCTCCAATCAAAATTCTCCAGTTCCTGCCTAATATTGTTGTAGCTCACCTTCGCCCAGTTTAATACCTTCACCCGAGTACTGCTGTTATCCCGATCTTAAAACCCACAGCATTATGGTCACTACTCCCGAACTGCTCCCCCACTGAAACTTCACTTACCTGGCTGGGTTCATTTCCCAAAACCACGTCCAGTATAATCCCTTCCCTGGTTGGAGTGTTTACATACTGTGTCAAGAAACCATTCTGAATGGTCCTTACAAATTCTGCCCCATCTAAGCCCCTAGCATGAAGAGAGTCCCAGTCAACACAGGGGAAGTTAAAATCACCCACCACAACAACACTGCTATTTTTATATCTTTCCAAAATCTGTCTACATATGCTCTCCTGTATCTCGCGTTGGCTGTTGGGAGGACTATAGTCTACTCCCAACATTGTGATTTCACCTTTCCTATTCTTGATTTTGTCCCATATTGTCTTGCTCTGATGTATCCTCCCGCTGTACAGCTGTGAGATACTCCTTTTCCAGTAATGCAACTCCCCCACCCCTTTTACATCTCCTTCTATCACACATGAAACATCTAATTCCTGGGACATTCAGCTGCCAGTCCGGTCCCCCTTTCAGCTAAGTCTCAGTAATCACAATAATGTCATAGTTCCAAATACGAACCAAAGCTCTAAGTTCATCTACCTTGCCTATTATACTTCTCACATTGAAATACACGCATTTCAAACCACCTCCTCTGCTCTTTTCAACACTGTTTCCCTGCCCATTCTTAGTCACATTTGCCTTGGTTTCTACCATTCCCTCAATTTCTGCACCTACTGCCTTATCCATCTGGTTCCCATTCCCCTGCCATACTAGTTTAAACCTTTCCCAATCACTCTACCAAGTATCCCCCCCAAGCACATCAGTGCCAGTTCCGGCCCAGGTACAAACTGGAGGGGTTACACAAGTCCTACTTCCCCTAGAATCAGTCCCAATGCTCCATGAATCTGAAACCCTCACCCCATACCATCTTTCCAGCCATGTGTTCATCTTATATACCCTTTTGTTTCTAGTATGACTAGCTCGTAACACTGGTAGTAATCCTGAGATAACTATCTTTGAGGTCTTACATATCAAATTTCTTCCTAGTTCTCTATATTCTGCTCTTAGGATGACATATCTTTTTTTTTCCAACCTATGTCGTTAGTACCAACATGTACCACAACCACTGGCTGTTCGCCCTCCACCTCCAGAATGTCCTGCTACTGCTCCAAGACATCCAAGGATCCTAGCGCCAGGTAGGCAACACACCATCCTGGACTCTTGTTTGTGGCCACAGAAACCCCTTTCTATTCCACTTATGACTGAATCCACTACAACTGTAGCATTTCTATGCCTATTTCTCCCTCCCTCTGCAGAACAACCAACCATAGTGCCATTAATTTGGCTGTGGCTGTTATCCCGTGAGGCCATTCCCTTCAACATTATCCAAAACAGTACATCTGCTTTGCAGGGAAATAGCCACACGAGATTCCTGCACGGCCTGCTTAGCCCTCATGCTCTTCCTGGTAGTCACCCGTTCCCTTCCTGCCTGTGGAGTGAAGTGTGCGGTGTAACCACCTCTCTATGTGCTATCCACAACACTCGCCAAATTGTGAATGCTCCACAGTGTCCACAGATGTCACTTTAACTCCAAAACTCAGGCTTCCAGGAGCTGCAGCTGGAGACACTTTTTGCAGGTCCTGGGCACTGAAAACATGCCTGGCTTCCCACATCAATTAAGAGAAGCAGACTGCGATTTAGAGCTCTCCTGCCATGTCTCACCTCTTTCTCTTAATAATGTCAATATTTTTAAGATTACATCAAAACTGCTGGTGTGATTGAGACTAAATATGACTGTTCCTTCAAACAGACAAGGGGCGTCACGTTTTTGATTATGGAAAACATCACCCACTACTTAGGATGTTCTCAAGGGATCGTCCAGAGAAGATATATGGGTGGAACTGAGAAATAAAGAGGGGTTAAAATTGTTTCAGAGATAGTAGGAACTGCAGATGCTGCAGAATCTGAGATAACAAGGTGTAGAGCTGGATGAACACAGCAGGCCAAGCAGCATCAGAGCAGCAGGAAGGCTGACGTTTCGGGCCT